TGTGACAAATAAAGAACCTTGAACCCCCCCTTTACGCTACACCTACACGGGTATTTTTGAGAACGCAGCTGTTTCTGTCACGGTTCTGGGTCCGTTGGACCCGGTATTTTGAGTTTATTATGTTTTGGTTTATTTTTGCATTATGGATTGTTTTCTGATGTTCTGGTGCTTTGTTTATTATCATTATAGACCTGTTTCTGTTATTCTTGGTGAGGGATCAGTTACTCATGGACAGTGCAGAAAACATTATTACTGTCCAGCATCTAAGACGGTTAATTCGGCTATAAGAGTCAGCACATTCAAATCCTCTGTGTTTGAAAAGTGAATGCTGCAGCAAAATGAATAACAACTATTTCACTTCTCCTTTTCCCCCCCACACATTCCACATTTTACTGGAATTGATTGTGTTCAATAATTTTTGATGAAATCAGCAAGTTCAGGTTGCGTTATCTCAGGCCAGTTGTTATTCAAATGCACATATGACCGATGTTGACTGAACAGTGAGAATGGAGGAGAGGAGAGAACCCACGGGTGGTAATTTTAACGGTGGATTTAAGGAATTCATTTGTGAAGAAGACTTCTACGATGAAGAGCATCATCATCAGTCTAACAGGCACCAAGGTATAATAAATTAAATTTGTGTTTAATGGGCTCCCGTAGTCTGATTCGGGTGTCTGTTGGTTATTTTGACCAAGTTTGAACATACCACTGCTAAAATAAGTTGAAATGCTGTCATGATAAGATGCAATGATTTGAGACAGCTGAATGAAAGATAAATTAAAGCTATAAACCATAATAGAATATTAGCGTGGGCCCAAGCTTTTGTGGTGCCATTTCACTTTAGTTTTATTGTAAATCTTAATTTCTGATTAATGTTAAGTCAATTCTCACAATTAAGTATTCAAAACTTTCAGGCACCAAGCAGTTCTTGATAGTATAGTATTTGTAGAGTTTGAGTGGTTTATTCTAGTCTGATGTTTGATCTTTATTTAACTTCACTTTCCTATTTTGGAGTATTTGTGTTTTGTTCCTTTATTACTTTCTCTCTTCCTTCCCCCTTGTCTCGTCCTGTGTTTATGTGCCCTTGTTTCCTTGTTCTGGTCATTCTTTCTTGTTTTGTATTTTAGGTTCGTTTTGCTTCCCTCCCTTCATTCCTAGACTGTTAATTAGTTTCACCTGCATCTCATGCCTCACCTGTTTCCCATCCTCATTGAGTTCTGTTTTGTTCTGATTCTCCGTTTCTTTGTTGTTGCAGTATATTTCATATTTGGAAACATGTCTGTTTCCTGTGTGCAGCGCTGCTTGGCTCTCGTGTTCTTATTTATCATTTCTGCACTTTTAACACTTTTTTTAAATTGGGCTTTGTATTAATATTAAAGACTCACTGTTTTGGACTGCTTCTTTTGGGCCTGTCACTACACATGATTTAAGTTCAGCAAGTAGTAAAAAGATACATTAAGTTGCCTTCATAACATGTACTTCAAGCAAGTGTTGGTCACGAAAGATTTGTCATTAAGCTGAAAATTCTTCTTCTCTGTATAGTGTCCATGTTCACTATGAGTCCTGGGAGATGTCACAGACTGGCTGCAGTGAGCCTGGCCCTACTCGCTGCTGTTTTGCTGATAGTTGATATTGGCCTGGGAGTCCATTGTAAGTCAGTCTGAGGACGTGCAATGCACAGAATCATTCTTATTATCAAACAGATACTGAATTTTGTTAACAATCCAGAACAAAAAAATGTTAATAAATAAAAAATGTCTAAAATTATTTGTACTATGTACTAAAATATGATTGTTGTTTGTCAGTGTCAGTAAATAATGTTATTTACGAATAAGAAAAACAGTAAAAAGAACTAACCCTATTTTGTAGTAACACTGTCTTGTTATCTTGCAGATAACAAACTCACAGATTCTCACCTCACGCTCGATGATACCGAACGCATCAGCAAAGAGCTCATCAACCTCCAGGACACTTACAAGACTGCAGTGGAAACCATGAAGGATGCCAGGAAGCAGCTGGACAGTGAGATGAGCCGTCAGACACAAACCAACTGGGAGCTTGAACACCAGACAAAACGAAGCAATGACTATAAAAGTCAGATGGAAAAAATCACAAAGGAAATTGAAACTTCAAGATCACGCTTGTCAATGCATAGTAAAACCTGTTTTATTATTTCTGTATATAATAAAAATGATTTGTTTCATAATTTTCTATAATGGTGGCATTATCTTTTGGAAACAGGCGATGGCTGCAAACGCTGTCCTGTGGGATGGATTTTAATGAACTCTGTATGTTACTACTTCTCCTTGAAATCAAATGAAATGAAAACATGGAAGGAATCCAGAGATTTCTGTCAGCTGCAGGGAGGAGATCTTATAATCATAGACAGCCAAGACAAAGAGGTTTGTTAGTATTTCTGTGGAGACCATTCATATTGATTTTTTAAAATTAATTTTAATCTTTTTTTTGTTAGAACTCGACAGTAAATTTCCTAATAAATCATCAAGATGCCTCCCAGCTCTCAACAGACTTCTGGATCGGACTGAGTGATTCCAAGGAGGAAGGGACTTGGAAATGGTTGGATGGAACATTTCTTGTTCAAGGGTGAGAGTTCAGTATGCTACACACAGTGAAACTGCCACTTACAAAAAATGAACTTCTCCTCAATAATATATGTGGTTGAGAGGGAAGATGAAAAAGTGGATGGATTGAAAGAAAATGTTAGCTCTGTAAAGTAAAGTGTCTTTTACTTCAGGTACTGGAACGATGGAGAGCCGAACAATCTCAATGATGAAGACTGTGCAGCCGTGTATCCCAGAGTAAACTTCTTCAAAGCTTGGAATGATGTTAGATGTGGAGTCAGAAGGAAATGGATTTGTGAAAAAGCACCAGAATCCATGAGCTAAAATGTCTAATAAGGCATACAGTCTTAGATATGTAAACTATCACATATTCTTTAAATCATAACACGCATAAGGTGGTTTCACTTTGTCTTCACTTTGTTTTCTGTACCTCTCACTGTCTCTATCGCTCTCTCTCAGCGTGTCCACCCTTTATGTCATGAGCACAGTTGTTGTCTGGCTGTGGTTGCAGCTATAACTGGTAATATGACGACTCTTTACTGCTCCTAATACTCCTATTATCATTAGCCACAGAAATAATCATGACAGGAGTATACAGGCTGGTATTTTAAAGTATTTCTTTAGAAATTCTCCCCTCAGATTACATTCTGCTAGAAAGATGAAACCAAGATGAGCTTGCAACAGAAAGATGGGAAAGAGGAAAATATGGAGAAGGAGAGAAATAACTCGTGATCCGAAGCACACCACATCATCTGTCTAACCTGGTGGAGGCAATGTTATAACATGGACATGTATGACAGTGTAACTGTGTCCCATCACTTACTGCGAAAGGAAACTTGGCTGCCTGTAATAACATGTAATAACTATAGAAGATGCATCCTTCTATGTGTTTTGCATTGCATTGGGATGCTGGCCTTCAACTCTCTGCAAAGTCAATTAGTTACAAACCCTAGTAAACCATGTTTCATCATCATCATCACCTTTATTTATAAAACAACCACAGCTGACACAAAGTGCTGTACATTGGAACTGTAAAATAAAATTACATGA